GAGCATCTCCATGAAAAGTTATGATTTCACTGAAAAATGCCAAAATAAATTAAATTCACCTTTTTGTACTGCTTGCTCGGAAATTATAACTTTTCATGGAGACGCTCAATCGGAGCAAACTTTGCACTGTTAGAAAGAGCTGGTGAAAGAGCCTACAATACCGACTGATCCGATTTTTTTGCAAGTTTCTGATTTTTTATGACCCTACACAAAAATTCAAATTTTGAGTGATTTTGTTTTGAGCTTCTATCTATGCAACAGATGACTATTACTAAGCAACTGGGATGTCATTATAAAGAGCATGACTTACCCTTTCACATGAAAGTGAAAGCAGTCAAATCGGTTGAAAAAATCAGAAATTATGAATTTTTGAAAATCGTGCGCAAAAACTTTCGGGACGACCTAAAGTGCGGTTCATAATTATACGAACACCCAAAATTTTGTAAGTTTTTGAACTTTTTGAGAGAAACTCAAAAAGCCGTTGGTACCACGCGATAGAACACAGCCAAAAACGGTATATGATGCATAAGAATGGAAATCGATGTCAACTGTAGGAGTGTTTTTGCGGCTAATGCGAATTTTTAGCGGTTCATAATTATACGAACACCTCAAACAAAGGTCCATTTTTCTTTCAAGATTGCAATCATTTGAGTCCAAATTTTTTGTAGAGTTACAGTAACCAAGTCTGCCATATCTGCTATATACTAAACCCAGTGCAGTTCAAAAAGAGGACCGTTACTTTTTTCAAAAGGGGCTAAATGCTTTTGGAGTGATTGCGCTCCAAAAACATCCGTTCTTCTGTCGTCATATGCGCTCTATTGAGCTTCTAAAAAAGCTTTGAGATGAAATAAGCTCTTGTGATAGGTATTTTGTTTACGCTTGAAAAATCTTTGCGTTTTCGTGTCGTTTTTCAACCAAGTTCCAACCTTACCACAGAGTCAGCACGATTTCGAGCCTCAAAACTCAGCTTCTGAAGCCGTACAATGAAGTAAGCAATAGTATGTAGAAGTTTACAAGGCTTTATATTTGGATAGAAAAAATCAGCAGCGTTGAGCGTTTGTTTTCGTCACGCAGAAGTTATTTCACCAGGAATACTGTTTTTACTATTGCAATCACACATTTATTTGGTTTGTACCTCCACAGCCGCAAGATCAGTTCTAGAAAAAACCCAAAAACTTTCGTACTGAAACATCATCATGCAAGCAATGCAGCTGCTTCATATCAAATGTTTGCACAAGAGAGAAGCTGAGTTTTGAGGCTCAAAATCGTGCTAACTCTGTGCTAAGGTTGGAACATGGTTGAAAAACGGCACGAAAACGCAATAATTTTCCGAGCGTCAAACAAAATACCTATCGAAAGAGCTTATTTTATCTCATAGCTTTGGTAGAAGCTAATTAGAGCGCGTGAACCACAGATGAACGGATGTTTCTGGAGCCCAATCACTCCAAAAGCATTTAGAGCCTTCTGAAAAAAGTAACGGTCCTCATTTTGAACTGCACTGGGTTCAGTGTTTAGCAGATATGTCAGACTTTGTTACTGTAACTATTCAAAAAATTTGGACTCAAACGATTGCGATCTTGAATGAAAAATGGACCTTTGTTTGAGGTGTTCGTATAATTATGAACCGCTAAAAATTCGCATTAGGCGCAAAAACACTCCTACAACTGATATCGATTTCCATTCCTATGAATCATATACCGTTTTTGGCTGTGTTCTATCGCGTGGTACCAATGGCTTTCTGAGTTTCTCCCAAAAAGTCCGAAAACTTACAAAATTGTGGGTGTTCGTATAATTATGAACCGCACTTTATGCAATGTGTTGGCTTTTATGGGTCACCGATGCAAATGATTTTTAGAGCCGGGAAGCAAAGAAGCCCTAACATGCTGTATACCATTCGAAAGCTGAGATCATGGAGAATCGAAGTAGACCGTCGACTTTTTTCTAGGTCTTCTGTGCCGCGAGATATGAGGGATTTTATGTGCTTCAAAAATTGACTGATTTTGTGTCCTCACTTTCTGCTCTCCAAATGAATGCTACGAGAAAGTCGACGGTCTACGTTTGTTAATGAAGACTTGCTCTTTAACACAGATAGATAATCAGCAGTGATTAGGTTTTCATTTGGCAGAAATCTGCTGTTGAAAATGACCATGTTTTCAAATAAAATGCGGTGTATCTCTCGGTAGAGTGGGGCTAGAAAGAAGTCGACGGTCTAGGTCGAATCCCCTTTTCCTGAGCTTTCGAATGGTATATAGGTTGCTGGGCGAAGAAACTAACCAGTTTTCAAAAATGGGGTGGAGATATTTACTATTAGCTTGCTCCAACCCAGCTCCACCAATGTATTGGCTTTTATCGGTTACCGGAGCAAATGATTTTTAGAGCCGGAAAGCAAAGAAGCCCTAACATGCTGTATACCATTCGAAAGCTGAGATCATGGAGAATCGATGTAGACCGTCGACTTTTTTCTAGGTCTTCATGCCGCGAGATATGAGGGATTTCATGGGAGGGCAAGCGTTAGGCGACAAAATGTGCAAAACGCAAGCAACGTAAATCCCGTAACTCAAAACTATGCACCATTTTTTCATTGGCGTCGGGTAGTGTATCGGCCCCGATCCCCCCTGTTTTTGGCGGAGGAGACGTTTTGCACGGGGAGTTCTTTGATGTCAAAAAATTGGGTTTTGGGTCGCCTAACGCCCTACACCCGATTTCATGTGCTTCAAAAATTGACTGATTTTATGTCCTCACTTTCTGCTCTCCAAAATGCTATGAGGATAAATAAATAATATAAGTAAACATAAATTACCGTTTCTTTAATAAATTTATGAGTGTACTTGTTGTTTGAGGTACTTAGCCTGCTTTTCATAACGATTTTTATCATATTCTCAGAGTACAATACCAATCTCGATCGGGAGTTCGGCCTCAAAATGAAGGGGGTAAGATCCATCACTCCCCCTATCGCAACTATGCTACTACATAGACATATGCTCTCATTACTTTCTTTTGCGTTCCTTTTGCTTATTCCTTCTTTTAAGCTTCAGCAAAAATTTTTTTCAAACCCAAAAGTGAAGGTGGTCAATCCGTATCAGCTCAAAAGTGAAGGTAGGCGAAGACTCCGCACCGACTATCGCACCTCTGATGTACAGTCATTTCGCATATGCACTATGGATCGAAAATAATTGACCTCTTACAGGATGGCATCATGCAGATTGACTACTCTTCTTTGAGCGAGCATGGAATCAGCGTTGTAAATAAACTCGAGTAAATTGACATCACTTCGTTCTCCTGCACTGTGCCATCAGGGTAAGTGAAAGCACCGTCGAGTTTTTGTAACTTAATATAGATACGTATTGCACATCAAGCGTGCTACTTCGCGACAAATAAGAACAGAGGCTAACATTCCTGAGATTATTCCCTGTTTTAGCCTCTGGTTTCGTATGCTAAATAGTAATATCTCCACTGTGTATTCCTGCAAGATGTCTTATTGGTGAGTCACCAGTAAGGCGTCGTTGCTTGCGGCGAGCTCTGTGCAGGCTCAAGTAGCCAGATGCAAATGATTGGCGCATTATTTTATGATCGACGCATCAAGTAGCTACTCCGAGCTAGTAATGGATATATCTGTGCAGAGTGAGTTTTTGCCGTAATCTTACAGTACCCATAGAAAATGGCGCCAGCAGCAGCTTAAGATATATGTTATCATCAAACTGAGTAATCCGTCTAAACAGAAATCTAAACGGATTCGTGAAAGTCGACTACCTACGTATACCTACCGTATGTCAACAGTGGCGCCCTATATATCAGAAGACGCGCCTCGCCAAGCTGAGTTGAACGGCGCTAACGGATTCAAAGTTGTTCACTCAGAACCAAGATATGATGATGCACGCGAGTTCGGCTTCGGCTGCGACCGGTGGCGGCTGAATAAATTCGGTGCTCGCCGCCTGAGTTAAGCAATTTTTTTTGCGAATTACGAGCAGTATTGTATCTAGGATGCGAGAAGCTTCTGCCCCCAAAAGCAAATGAATTAATTGCTCTAGAGTCATCGAGACATAGCCATAATCTGCAAACTTAACCGGAGCACCTTTTTTAACTGGCAAACACAAGAATGAGAAAACTGTCTTTCTTGTTTCATCCGTGAATGATTTTCAAGAATTTTTAATTACGTAAATGTTCACGGCTCTATGAAAAAAGCATAGTCGCATCATACCTCATTCAGATTTCTCAGTTTGGATCGCAGATTTTTATTATTAATATTTTACCTACTATTTGTTAGTTTTTCACTTATTTACGTTCATTTTTCGAAGTTTAGTCTTCATTTTAAAACCTATTTTCAAAATTCTTACGCCTTTTTATTTGAAACGTTTTCTCCCCTTGCCCAAAGAATCTCTGGGTTCAGTTCGCACATTTCCGAAGCGAGAATACAGCTGTGCACACTAAGGATCAATTGTAATCGTCTTAAACGCGAATCTGCACAATCTTCTTTCAGAACAGAAATGTTACGCAATAACAAGATTTCAATGAAATGTTTTTTGTCTTATTTAACTGTAAAGCTCTTCCAGCTCCACTTGTTTAGGGTTCTTTTTCATGTGGATCTTGGAGCATAGATTGTTTTGAGATTACGACTGGTAAGGATAGGCGTGATATCATGCATGTTCACGTTTGTTTTTTTAACGGAAATAAACTTTATTATTAGGCACCTGTGGTTGTACTCATATCGCACGCATTCACTTTTTCAATTCTGCTGTCATCAGTTTCACTTCTAGAGATTAGAAGAAGTTTAAGGATTGTTTGTAATTCAAATCCCCTTTTGTAAGCAGAAATAATAAAGGTGATACTATGGATCTGATTGATAAGCAGCTTAGACAGACTATGTACCCATGCAAAATGACTTCGAACATATGGAAATAGTCAAGATCAAAAAATGATTGTTAAATTTTCTGTGGAAATGCTTTGTGGAATTGCTTTCACTCCAAGATCTATATACTGCAAAAAAAAAGAATATTGCAAAAATGCTACAGGGTGAAAGGACCGACACCAGGTAGGCAAACGTCAAGCTGAGAATCGTTCTAGATGAAAAGTGAAATATCGTAGATGTCCGTTAGCATACATTCTTTCGACAAGTTTCTACACTGCTGACATGCTAAAACACGATCTCGCACGTCATCTTCAAAAATCCAAATTTCTTTCACTGAGTTGTAATCAAATGTCGCGTTTACAACGCACAACGATATGGCTAAGAATTCGGAGTATAAACGATCACGGACAAGGAGGAGCATAGCACAGAGTAATGTGGGGAAATTATTTGATTAAAGGTTGTGGCAAGCTTTTTTTGAAAATCACTACCCCAAGATGATAAAATTGCTTGTTTGCAACGCACAGATGACGATATGGTAAGAAATTTGGTGTGTACACGCGCAGTGGGACTTAGGAACTAAGTAGGAAAAATCATGAAAACTTACGTGAATAAAGCGCGTGCTTAACTTTTTTTAAAATTAGGTGGGCAACTACCCAGCTAAGGCCTCGGGCAGAGATCACGCGATTTGATCGTCGCGATTGATCGCGACAAGACAACTGTAACAATATCATTGTATGATCTTCTCGCATTTCGATTATGATGGTTTTCCAACACGAGTAATCGCGACTAATTATCACAACCGAAACACAAGAACATCGGCAGAAGAAACTCGTAACACTTGTCTTGTAGCGAATGAGTCGCGACGATCAAATCGCGTGAACTCTGCCCGAGGCCGAATGCCCCACCAACAGTGGAAACTTTCATTTCACATAAGTTTCCAAAATTTTTACATAAATTTGTTCTACACCTAAAATTTAGTACATGGTAACATTTTGGTTTCAAAACTCATTCTCTCCTCCTTGTTAGGATCCGAAATAGCAATGACGCAAGTCCTTTTGCGCGCTGCAATCGAACAACCTAAGCAGCTGGCGGGATCAAGTGGGAAATCGTAAAAACCGATAGTGACAAAGGCGAAGTCGTTTCACCAATGTCCATTCCTACCCTCGTGCTGCACCATGGGTTACACAAAACATCATATAGACAACTCCACAAAAGTGCGCATAATTCCTTCCCTGCTGAAAATGCTTACAGCACGATGAATCATAACTGGATTATATCGATGATAGATATCGGATCCAGACAGTAAAGCCATTACAAGCTTCTTAATTTTCTTCCTCGATGTCATAGTTCACACGTCCACATACTGATAACAACACTGCATAAAATAGGCATGCAAAACAGTTCAGGCAACGCAGCCAGCTTCTGCCTAGTTTAGGTTAGTCACAAGATAATTTTCTCAAACTCTTTGAATTACACTCAAGAATTTCAGTAACTTCCATAACCATGCTTCTTTTCATTCTACCAGCCCTTTTGGCTGTGTTCATCCAACAAGCGGTGAGTTAGCTTGTAGAAAATTTGCATTCTCTAAATTTGATAGTCAACGATTTTGTAGACTTCAACAAATCAATAATTACCTTTTGACGCAACGGAATTGGCGACTGGAAGGCGGGGTTTCGAGGTCTAAACAAGGTAGAAAATAATAAGAGAGCACGTCCGCGAGAGAGACGCAGGCTGCGTCGCGGGCGCAAGCGGTTGCCTTCCAACCGCCAATCCTTTATTCAAAGGGTAGTATTGTTGGCTAAAGACATGACGAAAGCTGAAGTTTTCTAAAGAAAAATTACGAATTATTTGCAGTCGGCAGCCGCCAACGTCACCAACTATGCATATGCTCTCGATATCGATAAAGCGATGACAGTAAGCACTTTCAAGTGTTTGCAGAAGTTGGGCTATAGCGCTGTATTCATCAGGTAGTATCGGTTTCCTTGCCTAGCAGACCCATACTTATTGTCATATCCCAGGGCTTACGACGCGCGCGGCAAAGGATCGTTTGATACAAACGCTCCCAGAAACGTTTACAACGCCTACGACGGTAAGATTTCTTTCGTTTTCACATGAATAAAGGCCAAAAATGATCAGATTTATGCAAATTTAGTTGGGCTAGGAGCTGAGGTCTACATGAGCCCACAGCCTAAATCTACAAAGACAGGAGCTGTTCAGTGCAAGGAGATGCTTGATGGCTTAAAAAGGAATAGCGTCAATATTAAAACGATCTGGGTACAGGTAAGAGTCATTAAAAATAAAATAGTTAGCAAAAAATAAGAGGCATTTTTGAGGTCACATCACCTGCGAACTGGGGCACTGACATAAAGAAGAACCTTGCTTTCCTCAACGACATCGCCAGAACTGCATTAGTAAACTTTCTTTTTTTAGGCTGCTTTGGAGTCGCTCCGGTTCCAGCGCAGTGCCAGGGCCGTGCCAGCACCAATGTAAACCAATAGCTGGCACGACGTCGGCACGGCACCTGGCACTCAGGCAAATCTGAGCGCGTCCTTCGTTACATAAAGTCAAGTATTTTTATGCATCCTTTCTAGTCCTCCGGTATCAAAGTCGGATATTACACCAATGTGCACGAATGGAATCAGATTACAAAGAACACAAAAATAACGACTCCCAACACTCCGCTCTGGTAACTTACTGCGAGGGATTAATCCGACAGAAAATTATATTCAATTTTCAGGTATTGGAACACCAACGGAGCTGGACCAAGTGGCGAAACACCGGCTGACTTCAAGGACTTCCGTCCATTCGGAGGATTCGAGAAGGCAACGGTGAAGCAGTTCGGACAGTCGGTGAGCATCTGTGGAGTCCTTGGAGTGAATAGGTAAGCGGAAGGGAAATCATACTTAGGAACCTATACTGATTGCTTCAGGGACGTCTTCGACGCAGCTGAAAAGCAAATCTTCATGATCGCCAAACAGAAGGGTACGTATGTTGTCTGAGTGACCTTGCCGTCGAACAGGAAACGATATTGAACCTCAATAAATCTGAGAATGTTGCGCTTTTGTGTTGCACATAGAAGACACAAGTAATCAAACTTTTTACCACTAAGTGGGGACAGAGGTTTTTGTGTTGGCCCAGGTCAATGACATCAGTTCGGTCGTGTTTGAAAAAGGCAAAGTTCTAGGAAGAGAAAGCTAAATTAAATACTGCTTCCATTTGAAGTAGACTTAAGGTATTATTCCGTCTTACCTTACAGATTCGAATTAACACAAGTTTGAAATCAAAAGTCGTTGCCAAACAAACGATTGAAATTATCAAAAAGAATGATGTGAGAAAATTTACACAAAAGTCATTTTCAAAGAGCTGCATATTTTGAACTCAGCCTAGATCTGTGGTTTCAAATTTGCTTCTCTTATTCACAGCGCCTCTGCAAGCGATCTTTTGAGCAATTTTAATGTAAAAAGTCCGTGCATGCAAAGTGAAAACTTAAAATTGAACATATATCTATAGCTCAGGAGTGAACCAACATATGTACATATAGAAAACTGCACCTTGCAATTAACATATAGCTTGTGTCAATCATGACTCCCTATTTCATCGACGCCGTCGCCACATCAGCGTCACATTCGCGCGCGTAAGGCTTGGATATTCGAATCGGCCAAGTCGACTGGACGTCCGCATGCAAGGCCGTTGCGATGCGAATGCGTAAATCTTGCGCAAAAAGAGAGTACGTATTGACACAAAACTGTAAGTTAGAATCCGCATCACCCATTCGTGGTAAAATTGTTCATGGATTTATCTGAGCATTTTTGGCAGTTAGGTACGGATATGGTATAAGCATTCTAGCTGCACTCGCTGGTGTGCATCTTGTCAGAATCCGTTCCTTTGGGGTTCTAGCTATTTCTGCTATCATTAGGCTGCGTGCAAAGTTTCTTATTGGCAATAGTTTTGGCATTGTGCTAGTGGATTCAGCGCCGCTGTGGCAAGGCGCCAGCGGACCAAACGGCGCTGACGAGGCCAGCTTTGAGCGCAACTCTAGACCAAATGTGATCTAAGAAAGCTATTTGAAATCTTTGACAGAGTTTTGAAAATTGATATCTTATGTACTGTTTGCGTTGCTTGTGATAAAACTCTCAAGGAACCCAGGCATGCAAAGAGTATCGCACATACTTCAGTTCTACTATGTCGTTTTTGAAGCGTTCATAGAGGAAATAGAAATAAGAAATGCGCATGGATACTATTCGGTCTGAAGGAAATCTTCCGCACCCCACCTCCCTCATTTCGGACTCCGCCCACTTACACGTATTGTCCACTCAATGCTGACCTAGAAAGCTTCGGGAAACTCATTTTTGTCAATGCGCTGAAAAGCCCAGATATGTATTTCTCATGGCGAGAAGGTTCAGAAGAGGTGAAAAACTGGAGAACGAAATTTGCAGAGACACTGCTTCTATGTCTCAAGCGAAGCGTGCTACAGTTTTCCAGGCAGTAGCCATCATTTGAGATTCTGTTCCGAAAAAAAAACCAGTCTGACTCGAAGCAACGAGAGTTTCCCTCGTTTCCTGAGATATCTTCAACGCGTAGGAACTGCAAGATAGGGATAACGAAATAATATTGCAAAACCCATAACAACCAGTATTCAAACACTTTCAGCCCACTTCATTAGATATAGACGACAACTTTTTTACGTTTCGATAGAAAATCATTTTGCAAGAAATTTTTTTCCATGTCTGCTAAGGTATATTAGTGCCATTCATTATGGCATTCATTTCAGTTGCTGCTCCAATACGCCTCGTTACCAAGCAAGGATTAATTCCATTCACGGCAAAGTGTGTTCATATTGCTCATAATTGCAATCAGCTATGTTTCAGCTCTAACAGGTGTCATATCCGATCGCGAAAATTAGTTACATTCTCGCCGCTATAAGGTTAAAAAAAATTTTTTTTTGTCTTTTCGCACATCAAAATAGCAAAAGTTGTCTTCAAGAGAATATGGTTTCAGCTATATTTTTGCTAGGAAAATTTCTACTACAAAAATATAACTTAGCCTCCTCTCGTTGATTTCTTTCTCACAATTCTACAATCCTGCAAGAAAAATTAAGTCAATGCTTTGTGCGTTATAGTTTTTCTAATTTCACTAGGACACGGTGCCATGCGACATTCAAGTACATATATACGTCACCATGGTAAACCTCAATGTTCTTATGTCCTGCCTTGTTTAGCTGGTTCGCAGTATTGCCTCTGCTGCACAGTTTATTAAATAAATTATTTAAAAATAATTGTCACAGATGTTCTTGCGTTAATAGCTTACGGTTAACTTTTGATTTGTTCAAATTTCGATTTCTAAATCATCAAATCAGACAATAATGTTGGATAAATACGGTGGTACTATGAATATGTTTGGACTGGGCAAAGCGCGAATCATGACCCTAGTCAGCGAATGTTTGAAGTGCAACATCTTTAGATGGTCTGGGACCTATTACTCTCAGATACGCGGCTTAGCTATGGGTCAAAGATTAGCGCCAGTGCTCGCCATTTGCTTTATGAGCAAAAAGAACCGGTATTAGCTCGCATGCCGCTGATGTACTGCAGTTACATCGATGATTGCTGTATTGTCACCTCCAGGCAGTCCGAAATGGACATGTGTTTCGACCTTTTCAATCAACAGTCGCAGTATATAAAGCTCACTCGAGAAGCACCAGAGAACGGGTGGCTACCCTATCTCAACGCGCAAGTGAAGTTGTCCAAGGGCATTGTTAGCGTGAAATGGTTCCGTAAAGAAAGCTTCAAGAACATCCTAATAAATATAAAATCCGCACATCCAGCATCCGTGAAGAGAGCTGTCATTGGAAGCATGTTCAGAACAGCCATGCAGATGTGCTCTGGAGAAAAAGAACGTTGCGATCACGAGATTTAGCGTCACAGATTGCTTGCAGCAATGGGTACCATTCTGTACCACACAGTCAACATCTTAGAAATGGTAACAACATTCATAACGATAATAAGCTTCCACTATGCCTTCCGTTTATCTCTGATAGCGTCAATGCGGCTTTTCGAAAATGCATACAACGCGCAGAACTGCAAGATGATGTTGCTTTAGTGTCCATTCCAAACGACAACATCAAAAAGCAGTTAGTTAGAAATAGATTGTATGATCGATACTGTATGTTAGAGCAATGCTGCGTGGTATGTCCGCACGGTAAAGTAGGCGATTGTGCTAAAGTGGGAGTGATTTATCAAATTCAATGTCTTAGCTGTAACGCACTCTACATTGGAGAGACAGGAAGACCATTAGGTACTCGCATAAACGAACATATGACAGATAAAAGGCGTAAAACTCAGTTTTCACCTCTGGGCAGGCATAGAATTGAAACGCATGGTGGAGATGACTTTAATATCAGATGTAAAATCTTGACTTACGAAAAGGAAACCTCGGCTAGGAAAGCGTTAGAAGCGTTCTGGACAGTGAAAAATCCAGCTATGAACAACAAAAATGAGTGCGTGTCCATAACCTCCGACTTCCTTCCCTTCATATCATTATGTGATATGTAGATGACATCCGATGGTCATCTATGGTATACTTCATTCTTCCGCCGTGACCATCATTTCCGGTGCGGAAACTCGCATAGTGGTGATATGTCGGTATGTTCATCTTCCGCCCTGACGGTTTTGCAATAGGGAAGTCAGGCGAAAGTCGAGAACTAGCAGGATTAGGCAGGGTGTTTGATGGCGTGGAGCTACAGATGACACTTTGAGCCATTTTCAGGCCTCTGAGGAAGACGAAGGCGTCGAAACGTTAGGCCTCGATTGGATTAATAAAGATCACCTAACAAACCTGTTTGGCACAGAATACTTTGTCAATATTAAATCAGACAATTTTTTATTTCTTTCAATGTCTCCACTGAATATCAATGGAGTTGATCTATAAGTTATGCACAAAAATACGAAAAATTTGGTCAAAAAATTTTGCAGAAAAGTTTTAATTATTGCATATATTCTCTACAATATAAAGCAATGCTCTACCTTATTAAACAGTGAGAGAATTCGTTCGGAACTAGTCGAAATGCTGTGTTCGATTATCAAAAGCACAACTACTATCAATAAACTATTGATTCGCAAATTTCTCTCAGTATTCGTATTCATAATTAGAAAAAAAGATTTAATGGGATATGTTAAGGACGTCAAAAAAAAACGATTTCACTAGCTTGTATCTTCATGGTATGTCACTATCAGAACAAATAACAATTTTAGAAGATTAGCTGTTTTTAGTTGTTCCATGAACCAATCAAACTACAGTGAGATTATAATGCGTGTACTGTGACTCACCCATATTGTATAATCTATAAGCAGATAAGTAGACCCCAATATAAACTAAGATTTATTCTATTAACTCCTTGGATGACGTCATAAGCGTTACTTATTGTTATTCATTGCGCTCTACTGGTTTCCATAGTATTATGCGAATGTTTCCCTTGATGAATGATGCATAGACATCAGCAAGACCTATTGTGACAGATATAACATACTTAAAGAAGTTTGGAAAGCGTTGGCCATCTTGGGGGTTTTAAAACAAATAGGTACTCCACTGGGAAAATAAACTTTTTCTTGCAAAAACGATACCAGATCATAAGGATGTAGATGCCTGCACAAGAGGCATACACCCAAAATTTCGTCTTCCATGTTTTTATTGCTATGGCCTTTCCATGGTGTTGATTCGGGAAATGAGGTTCAAATCACCAAAAACTTAAAAACTGTCCTTTTCTGAAGCCCTAATTTGGCGGGCGCAAAAAAGGGGGCGGAGTGCAAAGAAGATCCGGTCCGTTATCTCCTTTTGTAGCCAACATTACGAGACCGGAACACGGTTGGTCTATTTCAAGAGCCTACTAGTAGGATAAGCAGCAACCTGGGGCGAGTAGATTTTGGACGAAAGGAAACCTTTCAATAGAAGACTAGTAAATTAATGTTCAAATAAGAGAAGAGGATGACGAATATAAATCTCCCTTGATGATCTTATTCTGTGCACAAGTGCTAGTTCTTTCCAAAGTGCAAATGTCTCGCAAAGT